CTGATGTTTTGGCCTTCAATTCCCAGAAATCCTTACAGCTGGTAAACTAGCTGGGATTTCTAGGAGTTGTAGGCAAAAACACTTGGGGACCCACAGGTTGAGAACCACTGCTTTGTGGATACAGGGTCATACAATATATACATATGTTTGTACATTCTTTCACATGTAAATTTTGTCTTATCCTTTTATTTTTAAAGTTGCAAACATGTCAAAAACTGCACAGTGAGCTGATCCAAAGCATTTGGGGACAAATCTTAGAGCTCAACACAGATGATCTACATCTTCAGATAACAAGGTGGAGAAGGTTGTTCTTGAGATCCCGTTGCAGCACATTTGGGGACAAAAAGTACACTAGAAGACAAGGGAAGGATTATTAAGGATCAGATATCTAAAGAGATAAAACAGAGAATCTACAGGGATTCCAAATCAGATGCAACCTAAGTAGTGAAGTCACATGAACAACTTCTGATTTTGCAGGGGCAAAGGGCCAGCATGGAAACAGTTTTGTACAATCCTATTTTGATACAGTATAGTTTCATGTCAAGAACAAAGACTTGATTAGAATAAAATCGTGATGTGATTATGAGCATTGTCTGATAATGGTTTGAGGTAAGTATTGGAATTATAGGGCATTTTAAATTTGAGAGCTATAAAAAGAGACATCTACATAATTTACGGAGCTGAGGAGACTTTAACTTTTCTTTTTGGAGAATTTGAAATTTGAGAGTAGAGAGTGATTTATAGGAAGCTGTTTGAGAAGGAAAAGCAAATGGCTCAGCAATAGCTCTTTGTTTTCCTTTCTCAAACGTCTTAGTATCAATCAGTAGTAACTTTTATTACACACCAGTAGTAACAGTATTTTTTTAATCACTTACTTACTTAGGCGATCCCTCGTTGGACGAGTAAGATGGTCTTCCATTATGGATTTCCTTGTGGGTCCGTATGTGGCTGTGGAGCCCTATTCTTGCTCTGCATCTTCTTCCGCAGTGGGGGCATTGGTTTCCAGGTGGAAGGCGGTCCCGGTCAGGGTTGGCTTGACGCGCTTTCCTCCTGGCACGTTTCTCTCTTTCACCCTCCACTCGTGCCTCCTCAAATTCTGCAGCACTGCTGGTCACAGCTGTCCTCCAGCTGGAGCGCTCAAGGGCCAGGGCTTCCCAGTTCTCAGTGTCTATGCCAGAGTTTTTAAGGTTGGCTTTGAGCCCATCTTTAAATCTCTTTTCCTGTCCACCAACGTTCTTTTTAATCACAGCTCCAACTGGCTATGCATTGCTGTGGTGGTGAAAGTTACTGTTTTCAACTGGAAATACCAGAAAGCCCCAGACAGCACGGCTACTGGCTCTGACGGTTGGAAGATGCTGACAGTTGTAATTCAGGAAAGCAACTTTTCCAACCTTTGCATAAGATGAAGTCTGATGGATTCAAAATGATACCTGATATACTTGGAGAGATGTTACCAATTGAGCATATTGTTATCTCTCCAACATAAAACCCCTGCTCTTGGCTCAGTTTTGTGAGCCAAGAAGCTCTATCCTCACTTTGTTGTCTTTGTTGTCTTCAACTAGACTCTGATTTATAGTGACCTTATTATAAAATTTGCTTAGCAAAATTTAGTCAGCAGAGGTCTCCCACTGCTTTCTTCTAAAGCTTAAAAGGAACACTACTTGTGAGAAAGATCTTGGAGTCTTCATGGACAACAAGTTGAGCATGAGCCAACAGTGTGATGCAGCATCTTAAAAAGCCAGAGGGATTTTGGACTGCATCAAAAGGAGTATATTGTCTAGCTCGAGGGAAGTCATGGTGATTTTGCATTCTGCTTTGGTTAGATCTCACCTGGAATACTGTGTCCAATTTTGGCACCACAGTTCAGGAGGGATATTGACAAGCTGGAAAGTGTCTATAGGAAGGCAACTAAAATGATCAAAGGTCTGGAGGCCATGCCCTATGAGGAGCATCTAAAAATCTGGGTATATTTAGCCTGCAGAAGACAATGTAAGAGGAGACATGATAGCTATGTATAAATATGTGGAATGATGACATAAGGAAGAGGGAGCAAGCTTGTTTTCGGCTGTCTTAGAAACTAGGACTTGGAGCAATGAATTCAAACTGCAGGAAAGGGGATTCCTCCTGAATATTAGGAAGAAATTCCTTACTATATCAGCTGTTCAGCAGTAGAACTCTCTGCCTCATAGTGTGGTGGAAGCTCATTCCTTGGAAGCTTTTAAACAGAAGCTGGATGGCCATCTGTCAGGGGTGCTTTGACTGTACTTTTCCTGTATGGCATAAGGTTGGACTAGATGACCCATGTGGTCTCTTCCAATTCTATTATTCTATAATTTTAAGTACAGTAATTATTTATTTAAAATATTTTATTCAGTTATTCCACACAAAAGAAAACAATTCACAGGCAGCATATGCATCATATTAAAGGACACCAATATATACATCAAAAATGAATAAGTGATAAATCAGAACTCAGTTGGGTCACTGACTGTCATAAAAATAGTTGTAGAAGCAATTGTGCAGTCTCAGAGACTGGGTAAGTGTGGTCCCTATCATTCTGTAAGCATACCCACATACCTCCCTCACACTTTTGGTTTGATGTTTGTGTGGTTATTCAACACTTGTGCAATGGATGAGCTCCAGGACTGATTTCAGTCAGTTGCACAACTTTTACAGCAAACCATACAAGCATAAACTATACAAGTTTATGTATAGTTTATAACAGAATTACTGTTGATAACAGAATTACTGAGATCTTTCATTAAGAGGGTTGTCATAAGTCGATCCGATGGCAGTTAATAATAGCAACAAAGTTCGAAGCAATTCATCAGCCTGACAAGAAATGTGTCAGCCCAAAGTTAAGTGAAAGCAGATAGCTCTGTAGCCCACTTGCTTTTCAAGAAGATGGTCTAAATTTTAATCCTTGCACTTCCAGATACTTTTGGAATAGTTGCTGCCAGCCAGAGTAGACTCCAGTGTGAGCTTTGGTTCTGCACAGTGCTTGCAAATGATTACATATCTGCTTCCTGGATCATGTGGCATGTGGGAGTCTGACTTTGCATAAGATAGCCTGATATAGTCTTAACAGAGCTATGCAAATCACATTAAGGAAGAATGCCTTCTTGTTACACCTTATCTTAATAACAGGGTTAGCCCACCACTATTTTATCAAACTCATAATGATGAGCTGGTCTAATAATGTTAAAATAGATATTGAGTTGGAACTGTATTTAGTATGCAGCATGTGAGCCAAACTCAAGGAAACAGTATTTTAATGCATCACTCCAATTTTGCCACCAGATGTGGACCCAATGCACTTCTAAGAAGTCTAAAAGATATTTGAGCCATAACTAGATTTAGATTTATTTATTTATTTATTTATTTATTTATTTATTTAGGGCTTTTATATCCCGTCCTTTCTCAACCTCCGCAGAGGGACTCAGGACGGCTAACAAAGTGGCACCCCATGGCACCTACATCAAAACATAAATATACAATTAACAGCAATATAATAACAACAATATAAAACAGTAGGCTTGTTTGGTCAAAAAAAAAAGGTTCAAAACTTATTTCAGATGAAGTGGTGGTTCGATTCTAAAGTCACCTCCTTTAAAAATAATATTTTTTTTCGAAACTTCCGAAACAGCTTCGTTAATGGCAGATACACATGTGCAGCAGGAAAAAACAGCACTGGCACTGGGGAAACTTCAGGGCTCTTCCACTCAGGCCACTCCTGACCAAGGGGCTCTTCCACTCCAGGCCTGCCTTTGCTGTCAATGCTGAGGAGGAGGAAGCAGCGGCATCCCCTCAGGTGCCACTTGGCTTCTGCTGCCGGGCTTCAGCCAGGCAGTGGGCTTCAGGCTGTTAGGAATAATGGGAGTGAAAATCCAAAACACCTGGAAGGGCCAAAGTTTGCCCAGGCCTGGATTAGATGCAGCCATGCCACGGTTCAATGTTATGGGATCATGGGGTTTGTAGAATGGCACTCTTTGGCAAAGGAGGCTAAAAAACCATGCAAAATTACAGCTCCCAGGATTGTGTAGCACTGAGGCAATGCTGTTGAAAGTGGTTCCTCGATAAGATCTGCCTGATCCACCTGGAGGGAGGGAGGCAGGAGAGGGAATGAAGAAAGAATGGAGGGAGGGGGGAGGGAGGGAAGGAAGGAGGAGGGAAGGAAGAGATGAAGGGAAGGAAGGAAGGTGCTTCTGACAGATTCTCCTTCCTTTCCAAATTTGGTTGCTTTAACCAATATCCCAATCAACCTTTAGTGCCACTGATCTATAACAGAAAGCACCCTCTCCTTTCTCCCTTCCCAATTTTCTCCCACCTTCCCCCTTTCCTTTTTTAAACCCAGCATTGGCTTGTTCCTGTTGAGCGGAGGCTGCCTCCTGCCTGGCTAAACTCCCAGTTGCCAAACCTTGAGATTGGGGTGAGAAGCGGGGGAGGGGGAGTGAGAAAAACTAGGTTTGAATGCGAACTCCGGAGAGAGACTCTAGCTTGTAATGCAGAAAAGGCGGCGGCGGAGGAGGAGCCTGCTGCTCGGCCATTTTGGTGAATGCGCAGCAAGGCAGTGTGGGAAATGTAGTTTAACAACAGGGCCTTTTGCAATCTCTACCATTGGGGGTGTCCCCTTCACAAACTACAACAATGGCAGTGCTTAGGCACGCCCACCTCATCCCTCCTTTGCATTGCCTGGGAGGGGAAGCGAAACTTTACAAAAGTTGCTTAATGCTTGTGAAAATTAAAATAACCTTGGGAGAGTTCCGAACATTATGAAATATTTATGAATAAAAAGTGTAAGTGGTTCAAATCATAATTACACCTCTTACTTTTCCTGCATGGTTCAAAATTGATTCAAAAGCCCAAATTCAATAGGTTTTAACGAATTTAAGGTTTTAATAAAGTGAACCTAACCAACTCTATAAAACAGTATTATTTATTATTTAGAACCAGACCCTTGCATCCCAAAATAATATTCACTATTTTGCACTTTTGTGACACTATTCAAACAACTTCCGGATAAAGGACTTTTTTGCAGGAGTGAATATTTTCATGCTTTTTTTCTTACGTAATGATTTCATTGGTTTCTTTTCCAGAGGAGGGGTCTCCTTGGGTGTCTGCAGTCCCCTGGCTAGATGGACGTGTTCAGTGCAGAAATACTTGATGCTTACTTGTGACAGGTGAATAAGTGTATCCTCAGACAGGTCCATACATTGAGCATGGACCCAGTGGCCACCTTCACTGGAACAGAAGATCATGGCAGGCTTGTTGAGCTCTGTGGAGTATAAGGGCACCCAAGTGTTTATATCAATGTCACAGCCCGCAGAGCAGGTGATCCAATAACCTGCATCTTCCTCATCTTCTTCATCATCTTCATTGTAAGTATCAATGTCATTAACATCAAAGCTGAAAGTTAACTCCTCTGAATCCTCAAAAGGAGTGGATTCTCCAGCATCTTCTGTAGAACTCTGACTACATACTTGTGCCATCTGTTCTGCATCTTTATCATCTTCTCCTTGACATTTCAACACATAAAAGTAGTTTGCATCTGAAGTTAGCTGCCTGTTGTCTCCTGGAATGCCAAAGAGTATAGCTCCATTTCCCATGTCACTCCCAAACCATATCTTGCAGTGTTTGATTTCTGGAGTCCATTCTGGTGCCTCTCTTTCCACTATTTCTATCTTGTTATCTTCAAGATTGATTGTATTACAAACCATTCTCTTCTGGTTGTCAGAATGGTAGCCCCCAATAATGATAAATTCTTTGTTATTGGTCTGGGTCACAATGGCACTGGAAACAGAGATTCCACCTGGCAAGACACAGCAACTAACAGCTGGGCTTCCTAAAGGGAGATCAATTTTTATTCTATAGAGATGTGGAGGTCTGGTATTATTTTGAATGGAATGACCTCCTATAATATAGATGGTATCATTTCGGGCAAGGCAAAGATGAAAAGAGAACCCACTCTGAAAGTCTGGTAGGGTATATGAAGTACAACACCCAAATTCAAGGTCAATCAGGAATATATCTGGCATACAGTCCACCACACTGTTCCAGCTTTCAGTGGTTCTTTGTCCAAGAGCCATGTATGACCTCCCCCCAATTATAACAAGCATATTTTTCCCTTGACTGTGAACCTCATTAATGGTATGGCCATATCTTGCTTCAGGGACATCCCCTATTAATTCTTTCTCAGTACACCGAAATGTGACTTTCTTGTTGTACTTGCTGACCAAGCTTATGATGTACAGCTTATCAGACAGTTCATTGTTTGGAGTTTTACCTCCATGGATGATGTAATGGCATTTCTCAGGCTGTGCTCCAGTACTCTTGAGAATGCAGATTGCAGGGTACCGTAGAGGTGGAAGGTAGCAGGAATCCTTTGAGAAGTATGCTGGTTTCAGTTTGAGTTCATCCTTTTTGAAATCCAGAAGGAAAATTCCAGTGGGACAGGACCTCTTTGGCCAACCTTTCTGTCCAAACAGGAAAACATGGCCATCAAAGTTCAACAAAGAAAATCCTGGTTGAATCAAGGATGAGTTTTGAATAGCTGATATCATCTGTAGGGACATCTTTTCTGGGAAGTGAGCCATGATACTGTGGTCATTCGATATCTGAAAAAGAGAAGGAGAAGATGAACTGTAAAATGATCAAATCAGTCACTGCTTGTTTGTGGGGCCTTTCTTGAATGAATCAGGCCATCTCTCCTCATTGCGCATCACTGCCTGTCAATGAAATCAGTTCCCTCATTTAAATGCTATAGAAATCAAAACCAGAAAAAGTAGTGTGGAAAAGGTAATCAAAGGGCTAAATAAGATGTGACATTTTGGAATTACAAATCTACTTTTAAAGAGAACAATGCCATATGGGTCAACCAAATTGCAGCACAGTAAACTTTCAATGACATGGCTTTTGGTAAGCTTCTCATTGAAACAAAAGAGCACAAAGCTACAAAAATGTCATCATATTTCAACCCTTGTTCAATGGTAACAGGAGAGAACCAAGGACAACATTTTAAGGTATAAATAGGGCAGCTGGGGTATGGAGGGCTACAACACAGCCTTGGAACCACTTTGCCCACCCATGCCTTACAGAAGAAATACAATTCTTCTATGGAGCAGTGTAGGACACAAATTATTTAACCTTATACCCAGGGGTTCTAATAATTTAAATAAACATGTGCTATTCCTGTTTTGTGTATCAGTTTCTTGGTTTAGTCAAAACTCAAAAGGTGATATCCAAGTTGTTGAACCCTATCCCTTTTATAGGATCAACATCCTTGATGCCTTGTTGTTTGTGCAGCAGCTGCTGCTGTTGTGTGTCTTCAACCGGGATTGTGACGCAGCTGGCTGAGTGTCAGCTGCATTAAGATCACTCTGACCAAAAGGTCGTGAATTCGAAGCCAGCCTGGGCTGGAGTGGGTGTCCAGCCATTGTGTAGCCCGTTGTTGACCTTTGCAACCCGAAAGACAGTTGCATCTGTCAAGTAGGAAAATAAGGTACCACCTTGTGTGGGAGGCTAAATTTAACTAATTTATGAGGCCATAAAGAAAGAAGACTCCGGGGAATGTGGAATGCGGAAGAACTTCATCGGTGTCGTTGATGGACGATGAAAAGCAGCAGCTCCCCTGGCGGCCAGAAAAAAAAAAGTTAAATAGCCTTTGTCTGTTAAATGTTGTTTGTCAAAACTGGCATTGAATGTTTGCCATATATGTGTTTACTGTAATCCGCCCTGAGTCCCCTGCGGGGTGAGAAGGGCGGAATATAAGAACTGTAAATAAATAAATAAATAAACTTATGGGACCCCGAGGTGACTCTGTTAAAGATCTTTTTGCAAGATTTGTCCTACCATTGGTATCCTCTGAGGCTAAGAAAGAGTGCCTTGTGCAAGGTGGCTTCCATGGTTGAGTGGGGATTCAAAACCTGGTTCTAGTCCAACTCTGAAACCTCTGAGAAACACTAGCTCAACACTATCACAAAATAACATACATTTGATGAATGTGGGAAATCAGAGAAATGCATAGCTAAATGAAATCAGTACTTTTATTTGGTATTTTTATGACTGAGTGTGGATTCAAACTCTGGTCTTTCAGAGTCTTGGTCCATCACTCAAATCAATATATCATACTAGTACCTGCATCTTGGATTGCTCCAACTAAAATCTGTAATGGATTTATCATCCCATTGACATAGCAGTCATCAGTTATCACTGTTCACAACTTGTAAGACTTTTAATAAAGAGCTATGTTTATTTGAGTATGTATGTGTGCAAGTGTGTTTGTGTGTGAGAGAGAGAAGGAGAAAGAGAAAGAAAAAGAGAGAAAGAGGATGGTCCTTTTCCAGCTATCACCAGTCTAATTTTGGATAGGCAATCCTGAGTCACTGGGCTTCCATTCTCATTCATTTTTAATTGTTAGCTCCATGTGTCATTCCACTTTTAATCTACTTCATGGTGACACCACAAGCTTTTATGACTAAAGGACTAGCCAGACACATTGCAACACTGCAGCTGATTGCCCTCTCCTAAAACAATGTGTCTGTGTTTGATCTGGCTGCATTTAAAATCATTTAAAAATCCCAGTGAGGTGTTTATAGCATTAATATCAGTTATGATAAAGTCTAAACATGATTGAATTTCCATGAATGCTGTGCTAAAAATGCACCTCAAATTCCCTTTTCTATTACTACATTTTATTCTGATTACCTGTAAAGTATTTCCAGTCAGTGCATACATTAGAAGTGCCATGTCAAGCTCATGTCAAGTTGTACTATGTGGAACACAGAGCTCAGGAACCTTTATTTTTGGACTACAGCTCCCAGAATCCATGGCAATTGATCGTGTTGTCTGGGGAGTGGATGATTATAGTCACAAAATTAACATTTTCAAATCCTGAACTAGCTGTACATACTGAATAGTCAGTGACTTATGTCCAGGAGCTGACCACAAAGTTGGTCACTTATCCTGGTGTGCTCTCCACATGGATAATTGTTTTATTTTATTGTAGCTGCAATGTCTTCATCACTCATTTGCATCTCTGCACGTACACCTGTATGTATGTGAACACTTGTCAGGAAGAAAAATATGGACAAGGACAAATTGAACTATTCATTCTAGAAGCACTACAGAAATACCAATACATTTGATCCTTAGAAGTACAGTATGACCCTTGTAGCCACAGGGGAAGTGTTCCTGAACTTAACTTAGAACAGGAGGGTGTGGATATTGAAATCCTATTGAATTGAATGACTCCATCAGCAAATTACTGTGGAGTCTCATTGGTGGACTTAGACTTTTTTTTTTAGAGTAATATCCTTTTTATGAACTCTCTAGGTTTTCCAGAGAAATTTTATGGTAATTTCTAGTGGAATCATACCAAAGAATTGCCTAGAGAACCTAAGAAATTCCTAGAGATTACTTATTTTTCTTTGATGCTAATGGATGAAACCATAGAAACTAGTTCCTTAGGTACAGAGGTTATACTGTATGTCCTAAGTTCAGAAACAAAGCTGATTTCTACTTCTGTCTTCACATGTGACCCAGATGTAGAGATCTGGGCTCTGACAGACTTTTATATTCCAAATCCCTCAATTTCCAGCTGGCGTGGCTGAGGATGATAAGGACTGGAGTCTAACAGTGCATGGGAGATCGTAAGTCCCACGGGTGGAATCAAATGGCCATTTCTCAACACCAGTGCCAACCATTAGTTCTCAAAATCAATTGGTTCTTTACACACTGCATAATTACAGCAGTTCAATACTGCCATGACTCCATCCTATGGAATCCTGGGATTTGTAATTTGGTGTAGAACTGAGGCTTCCTAACTGAGAATTCTAAATACCCTTCCATAAACTCCAATTTCCTGGATTGGTTGGTGTTAATGGTGTTAAAGTAGTATTGAAAGTGGTGTAACTGTATGGTGTGAAAGTGGCTTTCTAAATCTTCTCAAAAAGCAGTTATATACTGTCTATGAATATTGGGTGTATGATAAGATAAACTTATGATGGCCAGAGATAAATCTGTTCTGAATGTCCATTCATCTAGTGATGTCTCAATTGGACACTGAAAGCTCCGTGTAATCAACTTCTTCTGGAACTTCTCAACCAAAGGTACTTGCAGAGAGAAGTGATTTATGAGACTCTGCAGCATATATACACATATAAAATGATGTGAATAATGAAACATTATTGTTTAAATACTGGGCTAGGTGCTCTCTATATATGCTCCTTTCCTACGGTTTTGTTAGAAAGAACAGATAAAATAAGGAAAATAAAGAAGGATTGATGCATGATTTATAATGAGCAACACTCCCATCCTTTTGCACCTGAGATTCAGATTTCCCCTTTCTCCTCCGTTCATTTTTAAATCACCTAGATTTTGATAAGAGTGAAATAAATTACACCAATAACATCCTTGTTACAAATAGAAGGGCAAAAGGAGGAAATGAAGGCATAATACAGTACATTGAATATCTTGTACACAATAGTTCTCTTGTGATCAAGTGGATATGAATGTCTGGAGATCCTACTTCATCTTGGACAACATAAGATGATTCTATATTGGACCACTACATCTGCACACAAGCTAAATTGGAGTGTTACATTCTGTTCTGACACATCATGTATGCATGTGGGGAAAAATAATTTTGGGGATGTAGCAGCCAGTAATCTGCACTTAGTATAAGTAGCCGGAAAATGGAGGTGTGCTATAGTCCAAATATAGTGGTTTGAGCACTGGATTATGACATGGTCATGAAAACCCACTGGGTGACCTTGGGCATGTCACACTCTTTCAGTCTTAGAAGAGGGCAAGAGCAAACTTCCTCTGCCAAGAAAACCCCCGATTAGTTCCCTTGGGGATACCATAAGTCAACAATAAATCCCAGTGTTAATTTTTCCAGGAACTGCCTCTCCCATACTTTTTATGTATGAAAGTGAAAGAAAGGAGGAGGAGGAGGAGGGGGGGGGGGAGGAGGAGAGATATCCTATGATACCTACATAAGCAAGAATGAATATAGGATAATGTAGTGCTGAAATCACACATCACTATATTTCCTTTCAAAATATCATCTAGGATTTAAGAGTAAGCCCTGGGCCCATTTTGTAAATAACCACGTAAGACAATGCATTATCCTAAGGCAGTTGTTCTCAACCTGTGGGTCCCCAGTTGTTTTGGCCTACAACTCCCAGAAATCCCAACCAGTTTACCAGCTGTTAGGATTTCTGGGAGTTGGAGGCCAAAACATCTTGGAACCCACAGGTTGAGAACCACTGTCCTAAGGCTTTACAGTCAATTATCTGTTTTTAGGCTATTCCTCTCCTGCTACTGAAGTACATGTATATCATTTCTCTCCCCCCCCCCCACCCAAAAAAACCCCAAAGAAATGAAAAGAAAAAGAAGGAGGAGAAGGAGGAAATGAAAACATGGACACTTGGACAGGTATATGATTGGATCAGGACCTACCTGAAGGATGGGGAGGTTTGCTTCCTACTGATATATTTGCTTCAAAACAGAGATTCAAATGTCTATACTTGTGGGTGTTTCTTTATCTGTGTTGTATCACAGAAAGAAGGCAGGCAGAGAAACCGTTTGCTTAGCCAACACAGATG